TTTTACCTATATTTTCTTCTATATATTTTATGATTTCAGATCTTATGTCCAGTTCTTTTATCCATTTTGAGTTGATTTTTGTGCAGAGTGAGAGGTAGTGGTCTAGTTTCATTTTTTTACATGTGGAGGTCCAGTTTTCCCAGCACCATTTATTGAACAAACTGTCCATGTTCCATTGCATATTCTTTGCTCCTTTGTCAAATATTAGTTGTTCATAAAAGTGTGGCTTTATTTCTGGGCTCTCTATTCAGTTCCATTGGTCTTTGTGTCTGTTTTTGTTCCAATACCAAACTGTTTTAATTATTATGGCTTTGTAGTATAGCTTGAAGTTTGGAAGGGTGATACCTCCTTTCTCCTTTGTTTTCATCAGTAGGACTTTGGCTATTCGAGGTTTTTTGTGGTTCCATATAAATTTCATCAGTATTTGTTTTTGTTCTATTTCTTTGAAGAATGTCATTGAGATTTTTGTTGGAATAGCATGGAATCTTTATATTGCTTTTGGGAGGATGGCCATTTTAATAATTTTAATTCTTCCAATCCATGAGCAGAGACTGTCTTTCCATTTCTTTGTGTCATCTTCAATTTCTTTTAACAGTGTTTTATAATTTTCTCTGTATACGTCTTTCACCTCTTTTGTTAGGTTTATTCCCAAGTATTTGATTTTTTTTTGTTTCAATTATAAAAGGATGGTGTTCTTGATTTCTTCTTCAGATTGATTGTGTATAGGAAGGATGCTGATGTTTCTGTGTTGATTTTGTATCCTGCTACTTTACTGAACTGGTTGATTATTTTAAGTAGTTTTTCTGTGGAGTTTTTAGGGTTCTCTATGTATACTATCATATTGTCTGCAAATAGTGATAGTTTTACTTCTTCTTTCCCTATTTGGATTCCTTGTATCTCTTTCTCTTGTCTTATTGCCCTGGCTAGGACCTCCAGTATTATATTGAAGAGCAGTGGTGAGAGAGGACATCCTTGTCTTGTTTCTGATCTTAAAGGAAAGGCCTGCAGCTTTTCGCCATTGAGAATAATATTGACAGTGAGTTGTTGTATATGGCTTTTATCATGTTAAGGTATGTTCCTTCTATCCCGAGAATTTCAAGGGCCTTCATCATAAATGGATGTTGGACTTTGTCCAATGCTTTCTCAGCATCTATTGATATGATCATATGGTTTTTCTTTTTCTTGATGTGTTGGATTACACTTACCAATTTTCATATGTTGAACCATCCTTGTGTCCCTGGGATGAATCCCACTTGATTGTGGGGTATTATTTCTCTGATGCATTGTTGGATTCTGTTGGCAAGGATTTTCTTTTTTTGTGCTGTCTTTGTTTGGTTTTGGTATTATTGTAATGTTGGCTTTGTAGAATGTGTTTGGTAGTATTCTTTCTTTTTCAATTTCTTGAAAGAGTTTGTGTAAGATAGGTACTAATTCACTGCTTATTTTTTGGTAGAATTCATTTGTGAAACCGTCTGGGCCTGGGCTTTTGTTTTGGGAGAGTGCTTTGATCACTGCCTCAATTTCACTGCTTGTAATTGGTCTGTTTAGTTGTTCTATTTCTTCTTTGTCCAGCTTTGGATGATTATATCATTCAAGGAATTTGTCCATCTCTTCTAGGTTGTTGAATTTGTTTGCATATAAGTGTTCACTGTGATCTCTGATTATTCTTTTGATTTCTACTGAGTCTGTTGTGATTTCTCCTATTTCATTTATAATCATATTTATATGTGTTTCTCCCATTTTTTCTTTGTGAGCCTGGCTAGAGGTTTTTCTATTTTATTTTTTCAAAGAACCAACTTTAGGTTTCATTGATCTTTTGGATAGTTTTTTTTTTTAAATTTCCAATTTGTTTATTTCTGCTTTGATTTTTATTATTTCCTTTCTTCTACTGGCTTTAGGGTTTTTTTGTTGTTCTTTTTCTAGCTCTTTAAGATGTGAGATTAGGTTGTTTCTTTGAATTATTTCTTGTTTCTTGATGTGACCCTGGATTGCTATACATTTTCCTCTTATTACTGCTTTTGCTGCATCCCATACATTCTGAAAAGTGATGTCCTCCTTGTCGTTCAACTCAAAGTATTTTTTAATTTCTTTTTTGATCCCCTCATTAGTCCAGTGGTCTTCCAATATTGTGGATTTCAATCTCCATGAAGTGGGAGTGTTCCTTGTTTTCTTTTCATGATTTATTTTTAGCTTGACGCCTTTATGATCAGAGAAGATAGTTGGAATGATTTTGATCTTCATGTATCTGTAGATGTTTGTCTTGTGGCCCAGTATGATCAATTCTGGAGAATGTTACATGCACACTTGAGAAAAATGTGTACTCAGATTTCTTTGGGTGCAGTGTCCTATAAGTGTCTGTCAAGTCCATGAGTTCTATGTCTTTATTTAGGGTTATAGTCTTTGTTTTTGTCTCATTGATCTGTCCATTGGTGAGAGTGAGGTGTTGAAGTATCCCACTATATATGTATTTTCTTTCATGCCTGTTTTCAGAACTGATAATTGTCTAATATATTTTGGTGCCCCTTCACTTGCTGAGTACATGTTGATGAGTATCTTCCTGAGGTATTATCCCCTTGATCATAATGTAGTGTCTGTCTATGTATCTTTTTACCTTTTTTTATTTGAAGTCTATTTCAACTGATATAAGTATGGATGTTCCTGCCTTCTTTTTTGTTCCATTTGCTTGTAGGATTGTTTTCCAATCTTTTACTTTCAGTCTATGTTTATCTTTTGTGGTAAAATGTGTTTCCTGGAGACAGCAGAAGGTTGTTTTTTTTTTTTTTTTAATCCAGCCTGCTACTCTCTCTTTTTATTGATGAGTTTAATCCATTTATATTTAGAGTTAATATTGATATGTTGGCATCTGTATTTGCCATTTTGTTTGTCTTTTTTGTGATTTTTGTTCCTGGCTTTGTTTTGTTCTTCTTGTTCATTCCACTGTTGGTTTTGGCTTTAGGACTTGTAGAATTTTTTTGGAGTGGGGGTTTAGTTGTAATGAATTTCTGGAGTTTCTGTTTGTCTGAGAAGGCCCATATTTTTTTCTTTGTAGAGGAAGGAGAGCTTTGCTGGGTAAAGTATTCATGGTTGGCATTTGCTGTGTTGAAGTTTGCTGAATATGTTACTCTAATCTCTTTTTGTCCGTAATGTTTCTTTGGGGAAGTCTGAAGTTAACCTGATTGGTTTTCCCTTTAAAGTTATATTTTTCTTCCCCTTGCCTGTTTTATTATTTTTTCCTTGTCTTGGACTCTTGCAAGCTTTACTATTTGGTGTCTTGCTGTAGTTTTCTTTTCATTGTGGTAATTGGGAGTTCTTCTCACTTCTTGTATGTCTATGTTCGTCTACTTTTTCATACGAGGGAAGTTTTCTTCAATTGTCTCCTTGAATAATTTCTCTGTTCCTTTGTCTCCTCACCTTCTGGAATGCCTGTAACTCTTATGTTTCCTCTCTTCATGGAGTCTGATAATTGTCTAAGAGCATCTTCATACTTCTTTATTTGTTCTTCTATCTCTTTTCTTTTGACTCTTTTCATTTCTGTACCTTCGATAGTACTGATCCATTTTTCCATTTCATCAATTCTGTTTCCATTGCTTTTCCCAGAGTTCTTTATCTCCTCTAGTAATCTTTTAATCTCCTGTGTTTCTTTCTTTCCTTTCTTAAGTTCTCAATTTTATTCTTCAGTGATTATTTGTCTCAAATCATTTTTTCCTTTTTATTTTCTTTGTTTTTTGATCATGATGAGCATTATTTCTCTATCCGATAGGCCGAGAAGTTCTTCCATGTCATTGTTGAGCTCTGGTGACTGTATTTCTTTTTGTGTTGTGTCCTTCTCCTGCAGGCTTGCTTGGTTATTTATGTTTTCTTCTCCCTGTTGTTTGCTTTCTATTTAGTTCTATGCATTGGGACGTTGTGCCACTGGTGTTGGCGAGCATCTCTTTGGAGTGCTCCTTTAGGGGTGTCGGAAACTGTTCACCAGACTGAGACTAGCACTGGCAGACCAAAACTCCACCAGAGTGTTGATGCTGTGTTGCTGGGCACTGTCCCTTACAGTTCCCTCCCTCTGTATTTACTTAGTTCCAACAGGGAATCAGTTAGTTGGTGATTTTGTTCTGGTGATTTTGTCCTACGGTGGCACCAGAGACCTGTCCTTGCTGACCTTTGCTTTTTCCCAGTGGTTCTCGGCTGGCCTTAGGCTATTTGTAGGTCACTGTGGAGTCCTTGTCTTCCTCTGATGGCACCCGGAGCCACTCGATCACCTCTGTGGTGATTTCTTCACCATTCTCCACAGTTCCCATTTGTGGGATGCGGTGCCTGAAATAGTTCCTCTCTACTCAGTGTCCCACTTGATCTGTGGTTTATTCTTGCTGGTTTTTTTTTCTCCCTCCTTTCTGTTGGTCAGAGAGAGCCTACTCAGTGGGTGGAGGAGGGTAGCAGGGTTCTGACTCTTTCCCTTTAAAAAAAAAAAAAAAGAAATAATAAAACTTCTCTTTGGCAGAGACTAAAAGTCTCTGTCTTGTGGGGAAACTCACTGTGTATGTGAAAGGGGGAATCTGGTGAATCTTTTCTCAGACATGACCCAAGAACCCCAACTGTGAACCCAACACCTCTCCAAAATATTACTCCTCACCAATGTCAATGTTATAAAAACAAGCAAAGTCAGAGAAACAGTCAGCAAGAGGCACATCGAAGAAAACTGGCTGTAATTGAATGAGGCAATTTGGATTATGGAACATAAAATGTACATTAGGAAGAACTAATGAAATTAAGCACGGAGTATGGTAATTGTGTTAATATTGCTTCATTAGCTGTAAAAAAAATACAAAAAAATTCACTTAAGATGTTAACAAAGTGGAAATGGTGTGGGATAAATAAGAACTGTACTATCTTTGCAACTTTTCTGTAAATTTAACAGTATTCATTAAATGTTATATATTTGTTTTTAATGTCCTCAATACTAAATAGGTTGTAAAAGGAAAAAATGATCTACTTTCCTGTTTCCCCAGGTTTTGTTATCCAGAGCCTGGAGAGAGGGGTCCTGGGGAGAAAAGCTGGAAACCTCACACCCAGGGCATGCCCCCAAGTAAGTCTCCTCTCCTCTGAGCCCTGCTTCTCTGACTCCTCCCAGAGCATCTCACCACCAGGATGCCGCCCTCCAGGACCCCCAACTCTGCCCATCTCAGAACCGGCCCTGTCCTGGCAGCTCCACCAGAATCCGAAACACTCCACCAGAATGGGGAAACAGTCAGACAACCCTTTTTATACCGGGGTTGCCCTGTAACAGTTTGGCACAGTAAAGAAAAGGGGAGCCAAGCTAAACTTTCTCAAAGGAAGGGAAAATTCATTGCACCCCCGGGCGAGTTTTGAGGACCCAAGGTGGGTGGTCCCTGAAGTCGTGCCCGTTGTGGGGGGAGATGTCATTTTATAGGGTGAGGAGAGGTTAGGTGGGAAAACTGGGTTGGCAGGGGGGAAACAGGCTTAGGTGGAACAAAGCTTTTTTTTCGTGGAGCCGAGTTGTTTTCTCCTGCTTATGGCTTCAGTTTTGGTTTGATGGAATCAGGGGTACTGGTGTCAGGACCATCTTGTTTGTATGTGGGCTTCCCCATTCCTGGACCCTGCATCGAACTTTCATACCAGCCTTTTGTTCAAAAGGGGCAATGGTTCTTTCTTTGGCTACTTCCTGCTGGACAGAGGCGAAGACCAGGGTGGGGGCTCAGGCCTGGTTATGAGACAGTCTTTGCAGGGACGTGAGGATATGGGTGGAGAAGGAGTTGGTTAAAGGTGGTATGGGACAGTTCTTGGATCTGGTGTTGGATGAAATGGAGTAAGCATGGGGCAAAAAGAAAAAATGAGGAGATTAGGATAAGAGGCCCTATGAGTGGTAATACTTTGTCTGAGGCTGTGCTGATCTGGAATTGCGGGCATAGACAGAAGAATGGGAAGTGGCTTGAAGACATGGGATTAAAAACAGAGGAAGGAGAGGGGCCTCCCCGGTGGCGCAGTGGTTGACGGTTGAGCACTGGGTTGTGAAGCTGCCTGCAGCTTCTACAGCACTGGTTCTATCCCTGGCCTCAAGGTGAGAGCCCCACATGGCGGGCAGACCTCTCCTGCTGCCCACTGCTCCCCTCAGCAGTGTGCTTCGTCAAGTCTGCCTGTTCTGCTCTTCGCTTTGTCTCTGGTGAGTTCTCTTACACTCCTGTGCTTCTGACTGTACCCAGTGCTTGCATAAATAAATCTTAAAAAAAAAAAAAGAAACAGAGGAAGGAGAATCAGAGGGCCTCTACTCTATAGGCTGAGTGGGATGTGGACCAGGGAAGCATTGATGCATACCCGAGTTGGGCCCAGCACTCGCATACATACTGCTTGTCCACAGGGACCAGTTTGACCCTGGACAGCTGATGCCAGGACGTGTTGCCCAACCTTGACAGCCATTGGTGTAGTCAGGATGATCATTTGTGGACCCATCCACTTTGGCTGAAGTGGTTTTGGAGAGATGACTTTCAGAAGAACCTGGTCTCCAGGACACAGCAAGTTGACAGGTGCATCAGGGGACGGAGGCACAGGTTGTGGCAGACAACTATCTGCGTGTTCTTGGAGCAGCTGTCTGAGCAAAGAGAAGTATGGAAAATATCCAGCCAATGGTGTAGGTTGGACGGGGAGCTCATGGTTAGTAAGAGGAGGTCTGCCATACATCCATTCAAGGGGGCTCAGGAACAAGGGGCCACAGGGAGTGGCTCGGAGGTGCATTAAAGCCAGTGGGAGCAGCTCCACCCAGGATTTGCAGCCTGAGTGGAGAGTTTGGTTAGGTGGTCTCTGGTAAGACCATTTACCCATTCTACCTTACCAGAGGGTTGCGGTTGGGAGGGAATGTGTAGTTTCTAGGTGATGCCCAGGGAGGAGACCTGTGGAGTAATCTTTGAGATAAAGGCAGGTCCATTGTCCGACTGGTGATGGTGTGCACCATAGTAAGAAGAGGGTGTTATCTGCGTTAGGGAGTGGAACACCCATGAGGCCTGGCAGGATGGAGCGTCGAGGATTGGGAGAAGGAGATGAGAGGATCTTTGACAAAGAGAGTAGAAATCTAACAGACAAGAAGGTGATGGAGGGAAGAGAGCCTGGTGAATCAGTAGGTCCTGGAGCCGATGTGGAGAACTAACATTTACAGGTTGGCCCAGTGTGGGTTTTAAGGCCTGTCTAGCGAGATGAGCAGCTGCCGCAGGGCTGCCATCCTCTTACAGTGGGATCCATTTGTTTAGAGAAATAAGCAACTGGTCGCTGGACTGGCCCAGGTTGGCCCAGAACCCCTAGAGCAACGCCCTGTTGCTCATCTGTCAATAACAGGAATGGCTTTCCCGGGTCTGGGAGAGCGAAGGCTCATCTCAGAGAGCTTGGCCTGGATAAAGCAGAGAAAACAGGGTGTAGAAACAAAGAAAAGCATGATCATGATCACTGGGCCTACTAGGGGCAGGATCCATGGCAGTAAGGGAGAGCTGGTCCAAGTTTGGATGTCCTGACCACAGCTTCGGCTGACGAAGGGTCAGTCAGAGGGGGCTTTGCTGGTCAAATGAGCAAGCCCATGAATGTGTTGGAGGAGGGGGAGACACCTTAGTACACACGATTTCTCACCAAAATCTCTCTCTCAGACCTTCAACACTTTCTTTTGCTTGCTTTCTTTCTAATGCCATTTCATTTTACCCATCCTGCTTTACATTATCTTAAGGACCTTCAGAATATCCCTCTTCCATATTTTCTTTTTTTCAAACACACATACCTCACCTCACTTGCATTTACCAGACTTAGCAAAACCTTAGTTTTATAAGGGAATTGAACACCATCTAAACAATGATGAAAAAAGGTAGATAGCCCCTGTAGCTTTTCGTTCCTGTATCCAGTGATTTAATTGGTAGAGAATGTTGTCCAAAGCCTGCATCTGTGAGGTGATATTAATGTTTCCAATTTGGCTAAGGTCACCCTGCAGGGTTTGAATCCAGGGAGGAGGAGGGGTGGGTGGCCATCTGGAGAGGATTTTTAAAAGGAGAAATTCCAGCTGGACTGACATTGTGTAAGAATCCCAAGCTGCAAAATCTCTTCTGCACATACTCCATGACGAGCTGCAGCTTCGGCCCAGGGGACACTGGACACCTAGGTGTGCTCGCTGCGGGACTGAGATTGATCATAGCCTAGGCTTTGTGGAGCAGGAAGATGTGCGGATTTTCCAGCTGAGCAGGTCGTGGTGGAGTAGGGCTGCTCTGCAAATAACCTCTGCCCACCTTGGAGAGTCCCATTTGGATTCTAATATACTGGTCCCCGAGTCTTTCTTAAGGGGAGCTAGAGAGCCTCTCTATCTGCTCCTTGCAATCTGCATGTTTTACCACCTGGGCCCAAGCCTTTGCAAGAGCTCCTGCATCCTCTGCACCATCCGTGTGCCCAGGGATGAGCAGCAGGTCTCTCCCACCAAGGGGGCAGAACCTAAGATGGGGGAGAGAGGTCCAGGGTTCCCCGCCTCTGGCCCTGCGGCCTCTGGAGGCTCTGCCCACACAGCCCCACACCCCTCTCCTGGTCCTGTACCTGCTCAGCTCTCCCCACCCCTCACCCACTCTGCTCCCCTCCAGGTGCTTCACCAGTTTCGTTACCCGCCTGGCCCTTCACCTGCTCTGCTCCAGGGACATCTGTGCTCCAGGGACATCTGTGCTGCCCAAATTTCTGTGCTGCAGTCCTGTGAGTCTCATGCTGCTCCTGGCCCCTCTGACTGGGCCCAGCCCCTGAGCCTCTCCAGAGCCTCAATCTTCCCTGGTGTGCTCCTGTTCACCATGGCCACTGAGTGGTTGTGCTTTGGGGATGGGGGTCTTCTGCCGGGTATGGCGCTATTTTCAATCTTTGTTGCTCTCCAGTTCCAATGCTGCACAGCAGCAACAAAATTCCAGGATAATTTCTAATACTCTATCTCTGGCCCTGATGATTGCTGAAGGGGCCACTGCACTGGTAGGCCAGCCACATCTTGGGGGAGATCCTAGCGGGGTGCTGGAGGGCTGGGGAGCTGGACAGATTGTGTTGGCCCTGCTTTCCTGGTCCCTCTCCAGCTGGAGGCCTGTCTCAGTTGTGCTGCCGTGCTCCCCAGCGTCCTCCAGCTGGAGGACTGACACTGAGATGCTGCTGTGCTCCCCGGCGTCCTCCTGCTGGGGTCCGGCCACAGAGGTGCTGGTGTCCCCCCAGGTGTCCTCCAGCTCTGGGCCTAGCGCGGAGGGTCTGCCCTTTGGGGTGTCCTCTAGCAGGGGGCTTGGACCTGCAGCAGTGGTGTGCTCCTGGGTGTCCTCAAGCTCAGAGACCTGGCGGAGATGACCCTGTTGCCCGGGGTGGCATCCTTTCCCCTCTTTCGGACTTCCTGCTTTCGCAGGATACCTGGCCTTTGGGTATTCCCCAAAACCTCAGGCTGCAGGAGGTGGGGTGGGGGCATCCTTTCTGCTCTTTTCAACTGGGTACTTTCTCAGGATAACTGGCTTGGGGTATTCCCCAAAACCTCAGGTTGTGGGGGGTGGGGGGCCAGTCCTTGGAATCGGGGTCACCAGGCTCCCGGAAGGTGATATGTCTCGGCCGCTCCTCCCCTTCTTCCTCGTGGTCCTCCTCCCCTTCCTGCTTCCTGGAGCAGAGGATCAGGTAGGTGGCCATGACCTCATCGTACTTGTTAGCATCAATGGCCTCCCGAATTTCCTGCCTCTGGTAGCCCAGGTGCTCCATACCTTTGGTTATGGCCGGGTCCTGGGGGCAGAGCGACAGCTCACTGAAGGGCAGGAGTCCCTTGCTCATTTCTGCTACCCAGGCGTGCTGCTGGATGCTCTCCAGGGGGCGGCGCCTCCAGGGGGGGTCTCGTGTCAGCATTTTGGCCAGCAGGTCCCCGCCCTGGATGGTGAGGTAGGAGGTCAGGTGGACGTTCCCGCCCAGGACATGCTCCCTGATCGCCCTGAGGCTGGGCCCCATGAAGGGCAGTGTGCCGGTCACCATTTGGTAGGGCATGATGCCCAGGCTCCACATATCCACCTTGGGGCCGTTGTACCACTGGCCAAGGTAGACCTCGGGGGCCCTGTGTTCTGGGCGACAGCAGCACGTGCTCAGTGCCTGGGGGAAGCCTTGGACGCTGAGCCAGAAGTCTGCCAGCTTGACTTTTCCTTCTCAGATCAGCACAACGTTCTCAGGGCTTCACATCCCGGTGTGCAATGCCCTTGGCACCGTAGTATCTGAGGGCCACGAGGATTTGCTGAAAGAGCTGGCAGGCCACGCTCTCCTCCAGGCGCCCACGCTCGCTCAGGAAGTCCTGCAGGTCTTTCCCCTGCACGTACTCCATGACATGCTGTAGCTTCGGCCCAGTGTCCACCACCTGGAAAAGCTCCACGATGTTCGGGTGATAAAGGGCCTTCATGCACCCCATCTCGTGGGCCAGGAGGTGGAAGTCAGGCAGCTCGGATTTGCGGACTTCCCGGATGAGCACCTTCGTGCCCGTGAGCGTGTGCAGTGCCAGCATAACCTTGGTGTGGGTGCCCCGCCCCAGCGCCTGCAGCGCCTGGTAGCTTTTTACTTTATGTCCCTGGGGAGTGAGGCGATTGCACATAGCGCCTATGCACTTGGACTACGCAGACTACACTCACCAGCCCTGACTGTGCTCACAGCCCTTGCGCTACCTCCGCTGACAGCTGACTCTCCTACGATATTAACAAATGTACTAGTATTAATAGTACTCAAAAAGTATTCACTAAACCCCACTAAATACTAACAATGCTAACTTAACCCGCAATACTAACTTCACTAACCTTACCAGCAATACTAACTACACTACAAATAAATAAAAATACACAATCAAAAAAATTATAAATGAGACAAAAATGTAAAAATATGATAACAATAAACCAATTACAAACTAACCACTAAATTGAAGAATAAAACAGAACAACAAAGACCAATAGAATGAACAGAACAAACCACAATTAGAAACTAAAAACTGGAAAAAACAAACAAAAAAAAAAAAAAACAGAGAAATGACAAAGGGGAAGAAAGAACAAACAACGAAACAAGAACAGAAGGGAAAATGGGGGAGATCACTCAAAAAATAAAAACAAGGGCCTCCCCAGTGGTGCAGCGGTTGAGCACTGGGTTGCGAAGCTGCCTGCAGCCTCTGCAGCGCTGGTTCGATCCCCGGCTGCTCCCCGGCCACAGGAGGAGGGTCCCACATGGCGCACAGACCTCTCCTGCCGCCCGCTGCTCCCCTCAGCAGTGTACTTCGGTCCTTCTGCCTGCTCTGCTCCCTGCTCTGGCTCTTGTGGATTCTCTCACTGACCCAGTGCTTGTATAAATAAATAAATAAATAAATAAATAAATAAATAAATATTTTAAAAATAAAAAAAATAAAATAAAATAAAAAAACTAAAAACTGAAATAAAAAAGAAAAAAAAGCCAATAGCAAAACAATAAAGGAAAATAAAAAAACAAGGAAATAAAAGGAAAAAGAAAAAGTAGAAAAAAGTATAAGCAAATACAAAAAAAAAAAATATCAAGGAAAATAATGGAAAAAACAAAGAAAGAAAAATAAAGTAACTTAAATAAATAGCCTAAACAAATAACTAAATAAGTAAAGCAATAAATAAACCAAAAGAAAAACAAATACCCTAAAATACGCTCTCACTCTCTCTGTCGGCGTCCGGAGTGCACAGGTCACTGTCCAAAGCTTCCGGGCTCCTGAGGACACAGGCGCAGTCCAGGCGGGCCTGATGGAGGCGGTGCCGGTGACGTCACAATGGCTCTTTGTGGCGTCAGAGCCAGAGGCCACAGCCATTGGCAGAGGGAAGCCCCAGCGGTTTCTCAGCCTTAATGAAAAAGCTGCCGCTTGACGACCACCCTTGGAATGCCTGAGAGGCCCTTTCATTTGTCCTGAGCAATCCCGTCCTGGGTTTTGGCTTTTCCAGGCGCCCCCATCCTGGCCCTGCCTTGTGCAGATGCTTTACTGTCGCGCTCACACTGTGGAGAGAACAGCAAACAGGGGGCGCCGGCGGTTGGGCGCGCGCTGGGGAGCTGCCCACAGCCTCTGCTGCGCCCGCGAGGGGCCCACGTGGTGCGCAGACCCCTCCTGCCCCGCCCGCTGCTCCCCTCAGCAGTGGATTTCAGTCAGTCTGCCTGTTCTGTTCCCGGCTGTCTCTGGGGAATCCTCTCACCCTCCCGCGTATCTGGCCTGTACCCCTGTGCTTGTATAAATAAATAAAATAAATCTTAAAAAAAATTAAAAAAAAAGGAGGCACAGTTATTACTGTTGGAGTGAACTAGTAAGGTTTAAATTCTAAAATTTTCAAGAGGTAATTTCAGGATTCTTTTTCAGCCTGTCTTTCTTTTTTTGGGGCTATAATTGTGTCATGGAGTCTAGTTTAGTAGAAAAATAACATTAAATAATAATACTATATACACAATAGTTCCTTTGAGAAGGAACAAACTACAAATACAATAAGTCATAACAATACCAATGTGCTTAAATACTAAACAAAAATTTTAGGTAATTCAGAATACTTCGTTTTTTAGGTTGCTTTTAACACTTTTGCCAAAATTGATTTCATAGTAATAAATATCAGGAAGTATAAGTATCATTGTTTTAATTCTATATATATTACATATATCAATATGTGCACTTACAAATACATTAATAAGTATCTGAGGAAGGAGATTTTGAGAAGAGAGGTCAATCATTTTTTCCAAGGTTACCTATATATGATATTCACTCAAAAGAAACAATGACTAATTATTGAGAAACTACACTCTACTTTTGTAGAATTGATAGTGTTCTAGTGATTAAGATATAGAGAGAATGTGATAAAACTGACTTTTCAGTGACAGGGAAAAAAAAGCAATATAAATAAGTTTTAAAATAATCCAACAGAGAAATACCAAATGGTGATAGGATCTGTAAAAAGGATCGAAACAAACCAATTGAATTTTCAATACCATTTAGGATAACATCAAAATATGAAACCCTTAAGGATATTTTTAATACAATGTATGTATCTGTAAAGCTATGAAAACATTCTTTAATGGAAATTATAAGACTTCAATAAATGACAATATGAATTCTATTTACAGACCAGGATGCATACAGCAAAGTTTGGGAGAAAGCACAATTGCAGAGGGGAGCACAGAGAGGCAGAAATGACTGAATCACCCTGCAGTAAGAAAAAGGAGGTCAGTGTTTCATGTGGACAAAGAAGAAAGAATTGTGAGATAAGGTCAAAGATATTCACAGAAACTAGTCACTCAGAACTTCATGCTAATTGTGAAAATGGAGAGAGGTGTTGGCAAGTGGAGTGAATTAAATAATTTGTGTTTGAGAAAAATCTCTTTGCATTGGGGAAACTAGATTGTAGGAGAACAAGAATGCAACAGGGAAAACAACCGAGATACTTGCAGTAGACAAAGAGAGAGGAGTGGGTCAGAGTGGTACGTTGCTTAAGATGTTAGCTAATAGGGCTGATTTGGATGGATATAGAAAGTGAGGGAAAGACAGAAATCAAAGATGCTGCCAAACTTTCTATCCTGAGCAACTTGGTAGATGTAATTGCTATTTGTTTTTTTTTTAAGTTTTATTTTTATTTGCTGAATTCAGAGAACAAATAGTAGAGGTTTGGGTAAATAGAAGATTGGTGTAGTTGAAGAGGTTGGATTCCATCTTCTTTTATAAGAAATCACACCACTCTATCTAACAAAGATTTATTGATATATAATGTTGTGGGGAAGAATCAAGGTGTAGGTTATGTTGCAGGTGTGAAAGAATTCACCAGAGACAGAGGAGGACAGACCAGTTGAATATTGAAATACACTGCTAAAAGAAGCAGAGGGAGAAATAGGAGGGGTGTACTGTTCAGAATTTGGGTCCCAAGTCTCTATTTATACTCTAGACACCATTGACTGGTTAGGGTGACTAGTCTTGGGTGTGTCCTGACTGATGATCCAAATCAGCATAGAGGGTCATCAGTTCTGGGCTTCACCAGCTCAAGGACCATGTTTCCATGACAGTCCCACCCACTCCCTTTATCATTCCAGCCTCCCATACTTGCCTGCTGGGTAAGGAGTGGGGGCTAGTTTTTCAAATTCTTAATGATACTTTTACAAGCCAGAGGTGCAGGGGTGAAAAAATTCACCAGAGGCAGACTGGAGAACAGAAAAGGCACATTTGTTCAAATACACTGCTAAGAGAAGCAGCTGGGGAGACAGGAAAGATCTGCAAGTGAAGAAAGATTTGGGGCTCCCTTTTATTACTGGTTTTGTCAGTTTTGCTTTGGGGAGTAAGTTTTGGGCTGGTTAGTGCAGGGGTGTCTGATCCTGGGGGGTTGATCTTTGACCCAGAATGTGTCCTGGCCTTTCCTCCACATTCCTGGTCAAAGGGATCCATCTTACGGTTTGGGACCCAGAGCAGCATTATCAGTTCTCTCTGTGTTCAAGCCTCCCAAACCTTCCTGCTGGGCAAGGGGTAGGGGCTTAATTTTAACCTTATTTAACACTACCCCACCAGATACCATTTGGTTTATGTTTTCCTCCCACAGTGGATACTTTCCTATATGCGATTTACATTCCCTCTTCCTGGTCTTCACCTGTCTGCATCTGTTAAATTCGGAAGTCTCTACTGACAGAAACAATTCAAAGCATGCACTTTATGACTTAACTCTCTTATATCAATAAGTGTCACATAAATTACCAAAAAGAGAAGCCCATATCCCCAAAGGCTAAACACGGAAGCAATTCTACATTTTCTTAAGAGAGAATTTCTGACAATTAAATTGTAAGTTATGGTGAAATCTAAAGTAGCAAAAGGGGTGAATAGGGTTGCTTTATGTTTTATTGCTAATTCCCTGTCAAAGCCATATGCTTATGCTTAATTACCAAATATTAAAACATGTGCCCATCAAATTGTTAGGGGGAATGGAAGTCCTGAGCTAATTCCATACAGGGTTTGTGGACTCCATCCCCACTCCAGACCAAAGCCATCAGGACACCGGGAAAGACAAATCCCATCACCACCAAAAGAGGGTTGCTGCGACCTGAGGGTGGAGTTAAGCAGCCAGGTTTGATATAAAACCAGACACATGGATCTTGGGGGCCCCCTTCTTGGCTTCATGGCTCTTGGCTCATGGCCAGATCTCAGAGTACCATTGGGTTTGCAGTTCAGCAGAACGGGTAGTATGCATTTAAGACTTTATCTCCCTATTTTCTCCCTGAGTTGTACATTTCCTCATTTCCCCTTTCCTCAGAGTGCACTCATCCCTCTTGTGGACCTGACTCAGTATGCTCCTGACTACACTGAGCGGGATGAGGAGAGAGCTCTTGCATGGGGATTTACTGAGTTTGACCCCAGCTCCACTTGGAGAGTAACCTCCCATGGGACGATACTCCTCCTGGAGGCCCTGGTATATCTGGTGCTAAAACATCTTCACGAAGGATCTCACTATGGGAGAGATGTCTTATTAGAAACAGTGCGCCCATATTTGAAGGACCCATATTTACATAAAATAGCACACCTGGGGCTGTCAACTATGTGCCAGGAATAACCCCAAGACTGACTCCCACCCTAAAGCCATTGGGGTTCAATATCGGGGCAAGTGCCCTTTTGAGGACTGGCAGGTGGACTTTACACAAATACTTAGAAAAACAGGCAGTTTCAATGACATACTGGATTTTGTGGACACCTTCTCCGGATGGGTGGAAGCTTTTCCCACAAAGACGGAGAAAGCTTCCAAGGTGGCAAAAGAGCTGCTGAAGGAGATAATCCCTCGCTTTGGGTTGCCCAACTCCATCCAGAGTGATAATGGGCCAACATTCATCTCTGACTTTACTCATGCAGTAAGCAATGTGTTACAGATCAACTGGAAATTGCATGCTGCATGGAGACCACAGTCTTCTGGAAAAAATGAACCACACCTTAAAGAAAATCTTGGCAAAACTGTGCCAAGAAACACACCTTCGTTGGGACCAAGTACTATCCCTTGCCCTCCTCCAGATAAGAGTGGCACCTAGAAGTGGGCTACAATTAAACCCCTTTGAAACTATGTTTGGAAGACCTTTCCAGGCCTCAGTTCGGAAAGGCGGTCCAGAAATAGCACAAGATTGCCGCAGCATATAATATGCGAAACATATCCAGGAGGTTCTGGCACAACTTTGCAACCTCGAGGATCTCTATGCCTCCTGATCAACCATTGTATCCCTTCAGACCTGGAGAGCAGGTCTTACTCAAGACTTGGCAGAGTGGGGATGCCAAAAACCAGCTGTCAGAAAAATGCACTGGTCCACAAGACGTTTTGCTGAGCATACATACTTCTTTGAAGCTTGCAGGCATAAAACCCTGGGTACATCATTACAGAGTTAAGCAAGCACCAGAAGGAACTGACCCAGAGATAGAGTCCCACTGGTCTTGTGAACCCATTGAGGACTTGAGATGTTTATTTAAGAAAAAGACAAAAACTTGAATGTTACTGACTTCTTTTCCAGTTATTGTTGCAGGATGTACAAAGATTCACTTTTCTGGATTTTTTTTTAAATATTTATTTATTTATTTATACAAGCACTGGGTACAGTCAGAAGCACGGGAGGGTGAGAGAATTCACCAGAGTCTGAGCAGGGAACAGAACAGGCAGACTGATGAAATACACTGCTGAGGGGTGCAGGGAGTGAGGCAGGAGAGGTCTGTCATGCCATGTGGGACCCTCTCCAGTGGCCGGGGATTGAACCGGCACTGCAGAGGCTGCGGGCAGCCCCATAGTCCAGTGCTCAACCGCTGTGCCACCAGGGGAGGCCTGGATTCACTTTTCTGAAGAAACCATAAGATGACTAACATGCTCAAACCAATCTTCTTCCTTTCAAAATTTAGGAGATGTGAAATAACATCTAGAATCACGCATATGCTGGCAGTATTTTTTTTTTTTTTAACACAGAAAGGCTTTCAATCTTGATTTTGGTATTTCCTTTTAACTCTTTGCTTTTTTTTTAAACTTCAAGGTTTATTTTCTGCTTGTTTTTGTTACTTTGGCCTATGAGTGAAACTGCAGTTGTATAAGATACCCCACGCATGATAAATCGTTACTAAAGAGCTCTTTGTGTCTATATGTTGTATGTCTGTATGTCCTTTCCTTGTGTCCTTGTCTTGGCCTCTAGTGGTTGACAAATTGGTATGCATAGTGCCTATAGACAGTGAAAAAATAAAAAAAGTCTCCAGTTATGAGGAAAAGCTAAAGGTTATGGTTTGATTGTCAACATTGTGATACTGAACTAAGCCGGTGCCTTCATAGAGATTGAATATTGTTGTTTCTGCTGCTTTCTGATATTTATGGCAAAGCTTCCCAGAAATCTAAACTCAAGTACAAATTTGGTAGCCTGTCATTTGGCCTATGCAAGGAAATTTTGTGGAACCTTAGTAGAGCTCCTGAGACACTCCAAATTTCCTCCCTTTCCTCCTGGGAAAGGTATTGGATGAATTTGTCCTATTTGGCTTACCTAGTAGAGAAAACTAGAAGGGAAGCATTGTCACTTGGGAAAACGGGTAACACCTTGACCTGATTATGTATGTAAATTGTCAATGGTGATTGTTGCCTTGTAATATTGTACACTTCAATTGTTTATCGACAGAAATTGTTTCTGGAGAAAATAGTGGTAAAAGGCCTCAACAGATTCCTATTGATGGAATTGTTGAGAGTAAAAATTTCCTACAAAGGACTGAATAGATCTGGAGACTCACCTGATTTTTACTAAGTTTTGACATAGTACTGGTATTTTTTTTTTTTTTTTTGCCTTTCGTTCTGAATCCACAAAACTTTTCTTGTTTTGACTGACCAGGACGTGCAGCGATGTTGAATTTTTTTTTTTTTTTTAGCAGAGCTAACTTGTATTCACATTTTCTCTCCCCTTCATACCAACACAGCATAAAAATAGTGGTAGTAATTTTTTTTTACTACTTATCTCAGAGACTGTTTTTGCATAACTTCCATAGGGATTTTGTCTGTTTAAACTAAAAAAATTGGACATGAGTTTCATTGTGTGGCTTTGAGTGGAGTTCTTCCAGGAAGTTGAAGCAGAGCTGAACCAAGAAGAGGAGAACCTGTTGCTTTGTTTGTAGTGTTCCAGAGACCTCCAAAGAAGGTGAGGAAGCTTGCCTCCATTGGCAGGACTGGACAACCTGTCAAATGAAAAAGTCCTGGTACCCTCAAGAAGAGGAAAACTCAGGTGGAGTGTGATGAGACCAACTTTGTTCCTGAAGCCTACATGGACCAAATGTTAAGAGTTCACTCTGATCCTATATGGAGTATTCCAAAAGCCAGCTAAAATTGCTGTTTAGTTATTCTGCCCTATGATTTTATGCAAAAATAGGTAATATGGCTTACAAGTAGATTTAGTTTGCAAACTTTTGCTATGCCGTCAAAAGAATTTGGTCTCAAGGTTGAGAGAACATGGTTTTTACATAAGTTGAACCAATTTTAAGATTTTTTTCTTGTGATTTTGACGTCTTTGCTGTCTTGTTTTGGCTAATGCCTCCAGATTTTTTTTTGTTTTTGTTTTTTGTTTTGGCTTGCACTGATGAACTCTTTTTTCCAGGAATGGAGGACTTTTGCTTTCCACAATGGACTATACCTGGAAAGACTGGTTTTCTTTCACACTGGAACCCTGAAAATTTTACATCTGAGACTGTATCCCAGCATCCATATATTTGATCTTCATCACCATGGAAATGGTGGCAAAAAGTGAAAGGGGGGAATTGCTAGGGGGAAAGGATGTCCTGAGCTAATTCTATACAGGCTTTGTGGACTCCACCCCCACTCCAGTCAAAGCCATGAAGACACTGGGAACTACAAATCCCAACATCACCCAAGGGAGGGTTGCTGGGACCTGAGGGTGGAGTTAAGCATCCAGGTTTAGTATAAAACCAGACACGTGGGCCTTGGGGGTGGGGGGCCCTTGTCTTCATGGCTCTTGGCTTGCCGCCAGTTCTCAGAGTGCCATTGGGATTCCAGGTCAGCGGAGATGGGTAGGACACATTTAAGACTTTATGTCCCTCTTTTCACCCGAGTTGCACATTTCCTCATTTTCCCTTCCCTTGTAAATAAACCTTTTATTAACCTTTGTGTGTGCCTGCAGTGGAGTATTAATAAGTCCCTTTTAAGCTCACGGGTGAGGACCCACAGTCAGGCAACCCGTTTTATATCGGGGCTGCCCTGTAACACTTCTCAGATCACAGGCCATTGATCTGAGAAAATGGGGGGCATTGCACCCTGAAGGGCCTGTTTCCCCATCTCATCTCCAGCTGGCCTTGTTATAATCAGTTACACACAGTCACAGCAAACAGCCGTCAGAACAGCCCGTCACAGCTGGTGCTCCTGGTATCCATTACGTTCAGCCTCCAGTGAGCCCCGGCCTCACCCAGACACTACACTGCCACAGTCAGTTTGCATGAATTCATCAGGAACAGAAATTATTATGCAGACTTTTTAATCTTGCTTTGTCGGACCTTCATACAGGAACCCTCAGACTGAGAGCTCCTAACAGCCAGGAGTCAAGGCTCAGGACCACGCCAAGTTCTCACCACCAGAATTGGCCTGCAGTACCTGCCAGTATCATTGGGAAAATTCCTCTTGAGGCTCCCATGACATTTGGGGTTTCTGGACCTGCCAAGGGGTTGCCTTCTTTACCCTCATGACAGACCTTTGTACCCCTTAAATAGGTGCCAGTTTGTTGTTGTCTTGCAGCCTCTGAGATCCCTCTGGTTTCTGGAAACACAACATTCCAGACAAAGCCTTGGTAAAATATCTGTATTTCCAATGGTCTATTAAAGAGAAGGGGAAAAAGAACTTTACTGGATTTATGCAAACTTTTTTTTAATGATTTATTTATGCATAGAAGAGATGGGGTATAGGCCAGAGGTGGTGGGGAGGCTGGTGAGAGGATTCACCAGAGACAGAGTGGGAAACAAAACAGGCAGATCTACTGAAATACACTGCTGAGGGGAGCAGCGGGCAAGTAGGGAGAGGTCTGCTGCACCATGTGGGCAGCTCCCTGGCAGGGGATCCATCTCAGGCCATCACAGTGTCTCTTCCAGGTGTTTCATTCCACGTCTCTAAGTTCTTGGTTCAAGTCCAAAGCCAAGAAGCAAGGGGCCTTCTCCACACGTCTCTCTCCTGTGTGTCTCCGGGTGCTCTCTGCACTGACAAACCTTTATGTTCTGAGCAAACAACCCAGCAGAACAGCCCATCACAGCTGACACTCCTGGTATCCGTCCTGTTCAGCCCCAGAACTTGCCGTCAGCCTCCTGGGTATCCTGCCCCTGGTACATCAGAGGGTGTCAGTGTCTGGCGATCTTTGGGTCATCAGAAGGGCAGGATCTCAGTTTAAAACAAGGGATTTAGTTCAAAGAAAACAGATCATGAGTCATGTAGCGTGTGCGTGCAGCCTCTGTGTTTGCAGGTTCCTGTCCTAGGTATGGGTTCTTCCTCCCTGGCACCCTCTCAGAAGAACAGAGCTGAGGTAGAGGACAGGGCACTGTCTGTGGTTCTTACCCATGTGCTCAATTGCAAGCACTCAGGCTCAGGGACAGCAATGAGGTTTCATTAACAAACAGGAGAGCAGGGAAATAAAGAGTTTCTAAGGGCTCAGTGGCAGTTGTTCACCCGATAGTGTCCACAGCATCCAATAGTCCCAAATTAAGGCTGCCGTGTAAGGTGGTACAGTCCCTTCAGGGAGGGCCTGGAGGTGGGGCACAGCTGCAAGCACTGGGCCAGGATCCAACTCACAGTGGCATCGGGAGGTGCTCGCAGAGGGTGCTCCCCTCTGAGGTGACACTCCAACAGGCACAGCACAGTCTGAATGCCAGGCTGGACTGGAAGGAGGCAACAGCAGGGGGACGTGGTGCCACACAGACAGCAGCATGACAGGTCTCCAAGGGGAACTTGCTACTGTAGCCCCAGTGGGCTGCATGCCCTGGGGTGGTGTGGGGGTGTGCAGAGAGCATCTGCTGCCAGATTGGCTGCCGCCTTTGTCCATGACGCTAATGGGGGTTGGTGGTGAA